ACGTCTCCCAGCCTACCCAGGTCACCCCGCATTCCCCGGGTTCCCTGAGTCGACTGCTCAACCCCCTGTGTTCCCGACCTTCCCAGCTACCCCGGCTTTCCCCGGGTTCCCTGAGTTGCCTGTCCTCCCCGAACACCCCGAACATCCCCTTGTGTGCTCCGTCGGTGATCTTTGCCCCATTGACGTCAAGCCTCCGAAACAACCCTCGATGTCTTATTATTGTGAGCCATAACATCATCACACTAGTACCTTGTATGTCACTTGATGTCAGTTGACTTTGAGACAACCAGCAACCCTAATTTCCAGTAAACCTCTTGTTCATTTTCGCAATTTTTGTTCAGTTACAAAAGTTGAAAATAATGACGGGCAATTAGATTGCAAAACCAGATACAGGAGGAATATAAAATGAGTTAAAAATGTAGGTCATATAGGTAAAAATACAGTTTAAAGGGTAAATAACGGCTGTAAACAGTTGAAAAAGGTTTAAAGGTCCAACAAATTGAATAACCCCCTCATTAAAACAATTCCACTGTCTTTTTTACCCAAAATACTGTTTCACATGTCAATGAGGGAATTATTACATCCGGATACTCCTTTTCTCCAGTAGCCCTGTAACCTGGGACTCCGTCCTACCCCGGTAAGTACATACGATGCTTAACCCCTAGTAAGAGGTGAGGTGGTCTGAGCATACAAAGTTCCTTATAAATCTCATTGAAACAGTATTTCGGTCAAAACAACAGGGAATTGTACCAAAAAAAATAGACCCATCAAATACCCACCTTTTAACATTTGTTATTTGTTATTTTTATATTTATTTTAAACCCTCTTAGCGGACAGTATTAACGATATAAATTAGATGTTGTTTCATAACTGTTTACTACCTTCACACCTACACACAACAGCAGCCCAAGAAAAACAAAATGATGAATTAATTTTATTATGGAGATGCAAATTGAGACAAAAAGTGTTGAGCACCATGGAATCGACTGCGACTCATTGTCAATGCAAGTCGTTGAGTACGACGAAGTCGTGAGTTGCACTGGCTCTCCGCACGTTTCGCTACTATTGCACTCACCATAGACTCGTAGCGAGCTAGCACGGAGCGATACCGAAGCCTATCAGCTTCGCACAATTGCATTAACGAAATATGGTAGTTCGTCAAAGCAAACGTGAGTTGTTGAATGTTTTCATAGAACTTGGGGCTCCACGTGAACGTCGCATAGGACACCTTTCCATAAGCTGCAAACTTGCCCGAAGAAGTTCTCAACGATCAGTCGGTCCGATGACACCCGGCGGTTTCGCACAACGTCTTCAGCGTCGAGCATTCCACGAGGCGGGTTTTCTTCTGGTGAATGACCCGGATGTCAGCCATGGCTCTGTAGTACCCCTTGTCGACAAGGGCAGGCAGCCCACATCGATGGATGAGAATTATTGAACGCTTGTTGCTGCTGCTCCATGCGTGGTCGCATGATCGTCAAGTCAGCTACGCCTCCACGGTGTGCCTCGCTTATGTCCACCAGCAATCAGATGCTTCGATCTTTAGACCATACATCTTGTGCTTCGCGCAGAAGTATGGCTTCGCTTCACCGTATCGACCAGCCGGACGCTCGAAGGGTTGGAACTCGACATCCGTGGCGTAGAGAGCGTAGGGTAGTTGACAAAGCAACCGCCGTTCGCGCGCAACTCGGACATCTGGGCAACATCACAAAATCTGCTACGAAAACAGGGACCACGGCGTCAATTACACGCAGAACAGCTTGTGGAACGTCGGTGCGCGGAAGCCAAAGTCCATTGCGTGCTTCTCCGAGGAGTTGTATTGCTCGAGCACGACCAACGTCATGAACAGCCCGTCTCTCGGCGACGTCTTGGACTTGGAGCCACGTCCATCGTGCCACCGAGCTTTGAGAGGAAGCTCGACGATCTCCCACATCACGTCAAATTCACGGCGCGTGAAGTTCGTCAGGACACGCACACCATCTTCGCCAGAGTCTGCAAGGACTTTGTCGAATATCGGGCAAAGGGGTCGGCTACGTCGTCGCAGTTGTGAACCACCTCCGAGTAATCCTCGAGGCATTGGCCCAGGAAGAGCTAGTCAGAGGTGGTTTGGTTTTGCAAGCGGGCGATGAGTGCGGAAACCTTTAGCATGAGGCTGCAAAAGTGGAAGTGAAGAAAGATGCCGCATTTGATGTTTGACTTTCCGCGCCTAAATTTACTTGGTGGTAGCCAATCCGAAGGATTTATTTCTTGTGACGACTTACATTATAATGATTGAAGTGGCTTTCACTTCATCCACTCATGTCATTCACATGACCCTGTCTGAAGAATGTCATGGGGTTTAGCGACATTTTGACGGACAGGTGCGGTGCAGGCAAGCAGAGAGAACACGCTCCAAGTGTGAGGTTCGAGGCAAAATGTAAAGTCGAGTTAGTAGATTTAGCTCAGGAGAAGAGGTAGACTTATAGATAATCTAGGTCCCTGAGATCCGGAACGTCCGAATCCCACCCCGTGACATTCTCCCCTTCTTAAGTCTGAGCTCCGGCGAAGACAAATCATCCAGATGCCGTACAAAATCTCATCTCGTGGGCAAGGCGTCCAGGATACCAGGGACTCTTTCGGAGGTCTACTAGGGTTCCGGGAGACTTCAATCTTCACTTCGTTGCCCGGGATTTATTAAATCCCGCTGTCGGTACTTGTAACCGCGTAACCAATCTTCTTCGCTTCGACCAGGATGTTCTGTATCACGCTGCTGTAGGTTTTTTGTAATCGTTGTCTGGGAGGTGCTGAATCCCGTAGATCTTGTAATCGTCGTCTGGGAGGTGCTGAATCCCGTTGTCTTCATCTGGGAGGTGCTGAATTCCGCTACTGAAGGTCTTGTAATCGTCGTCTGGGAGGTGCTGAATTTCCCGTTGTCATTGTTCGGGAGGTGCTGAATCCCGTTATCTTCATCTGGGAGGTGCTGAATCCCGCTGCTGAAGGTCTTGCAATCGATGTCCGGGAGGTGCTGAATCCCGTTGTTGTAGGTCGTGTAGTCGTCGTCCGGGATGTGATGAATCCCGTTGGTCATTCTGCTTTGGTCCGGGACCTGGTGGGGTTCCGGGGGTTGTGCATTGCGCTCCAGGAAGTTGTCCCGGAGGAGTTTCTTCCATGGTTCGTTCTTGTTGCAATTCGTCATTGTCGGAGGTAAATTTCGTGCCCTTTGTCAGTTTCTCGCCACTCTGACGGCCAAACTCTCATTGTCGGCTCCCCGGACAGTGATCCATTCCAGGCACATTGCCTCCGTTGGTCTCCGAATGTTGTCCGGACTGAAGAGGAGCCAGGCCGTGCTGAGGCGGCGAGTGTCGCTCCGTAGTTACCGGACATCCCCAGCTAAAATGGCCAAGTTTCCCACTTCGGGAAAAACGCTGATTTGCGAAGACCCGGATGATGAAACGAAATCAGGCGAAGTGATCTGCGGGAGATGCAAAACAAGAGGCCACCCCCGCGAGGAGTGTTCCCGGAAGGACTGGTATTGCACTCGCTGCCGTTGTCAGGGGCACGCTCTATTGGAATGTGGGCTTCCCCGGACGGATGTTCCTGGTGGACAAGATACCTGTTATACTTCTACTGTAAGGGTTTCCGGAGCCACTAACCGAGCCGCCACCAGAGCTACCACCAGAGCCACCACCTCCCGAGCCGCAACTTTCCGGAGGCCCCGGTGAGTACCCGTGTCCACCGCCTCCGCTCGCACGATAGTACTCTTCGGATACCGAAAACTGTACGGGCCCCCGGTAGGGCTGAGACTGAGGTGCGCCCAGAGGCATAAATGGCTGATGCGCGGACTCCTGGACGAGAAACGAAGGCGGTACTCCTGGCGCAGCCGACTCCGTTACGATTTCTGTACGTTGCATGAAACTGGGCAAGTCCGACGTTCGTGGTGTGGATGGATAAGATCCCGGGGCGGGTATATGAGCGTCTGTGTGGACCGTGGAGCATGTTGAGGGAGAGCTCTTGCAGGACGGTACCGACGTTACACTGAGAGCTTCCGGGAAAAAGTTTCTTAAGCGATGGGCTTGTTGTTGTAGGTCCAACCAATACACTCCGTTCCACTTGTATTTGGGTCCATTGACGTTCCAATTCCTCGTAAGCCCGATGAATGTTTGATTCATGAGCCGCCTTCTCTTGTCGTAGACGAACTTCCTCGTCCCGGAGCAGAGCACTGTTAGCGTCCACAAGAGCTCGCGCTTCTTCTCGTCGGGCCGTAGGCGTTCGTTCGCACTCCTTCCTTTTTCCAGATATTTCGGGGCTTCGTTCACCAGGACATGTTCCTGGGTCACGGACCTGAATTGCCCTTGCATCGACTGTTCCAGGTCTTCCCGGCTACGTTTTTCGTTGAACAGGGCTTGCTCATATCGTGACTGCTCGTTTGACAATATCGCTCCGGATAGTCCCTTTGCTGTTCCGGAGTAGTTGGTGTTCGTCATCCCGGAGTCGTTCCATCATATGCCGATGGCAAACTTCTTCCTGAAGAGCTGTATCCAGGTCCCTCAGTGTCTTGTGGGGGGTTTCATTTTCACTTTCGAAGCTCCGGACTTCTTCGAGATCGTTCCGGGTGAGCAGTGCCGGAACCATACCCCCGTATACCTCTTGGACCAAGGTTGGACCAAGGAGGCGAATCCGGGAGCTCGGATAGGTAGCGAACTGCGCTCAAAAGTCATTTCCGGCTTGGGGAGACAAGTCTGCCACCGTTCCCAGCGCCGGTTTCTTCAAAGACCATCATGTTCCCGGAAGGTATGTCCGGATGGTTTTGGTGCTGAGCGCCCCGGAGTCGAGTTTTCCCGTACGTAGTAGTCGCTCCCTCGGACGCCTCCCGCAAGCCAGTCTTGAATACATATCGTCTTTGTTGTTGGGCCTTCTGGCGACATATTGCCTTTCTCTTCTCAACTTCCTTTGCAAACGCCTACCCTGCTGCTCCACCAGAATGTCACGGGGTTTAGCGACATTTTGACGGGCAGGCGCGGCGCAGGCAAGCAGAGAGAACACGCTCCAAGTGTGAGGTTCGAGGCAAAATGTAAAGTCGAGTTAGTGGATTTAGCTCAGGAGAAGAGGTAGACTAATAGATAATCTAGGTCCCTGAGATCCGGAGTCTGATCGGGATATCCGGAACGTCCGAATCCCACCCCGTGACAAGAATTCGAACAGTTTTTTGGAAGCATGTCTGTGGCTGGCAAGTTATCCGGAAGTATAATTTCTGCTGAGTATTTGATCGTTTGATAAGTTCAATGGATGTACTCTGTATCGATAATCAAATCATGCGAGTAGCTAATTCTTCATCGTTATCTGATTTTGGGGCCTATTGAATCGTATTAAATTGTGTAGGTGATCCAGTATTCAGTAATTCCGTATATACTTCGAAAACATGGTAGAGATTGGGCAAATGCTACGTGATCGAGTCACTGAAGAATTCACCTTAGAATTGCAATATGGCTCAAGGATGCAGAAGTTATAACGTATATGACATGCCACTGCATAATTGTGTTTCTTCGCACAATTCTGCACTGCTCTACCATGACCTCGATATTAAACAACAATTCATTTGTACGCGCCAACTGGACCCCAATGCTGTACTCGACCGCCTTCAACGTCAACACGACATCGACGACGAAAACCTCACCTGGAGGAGATGAATCAAGTCTACCATGACTATTCTCAGCAAGTTGAATACGCTGATGATTCGCCGACACCCAGCATGGATCGTTTCTACTTACAGGGTAGCAACGCTGCCCTGCAAGTGAAACCTCGCCACCATGATAAATCTGACTCAACCCGAATTCGAAACGATCTGAGCAATCGTTGAGTCCGTCTTGGTCCCTGCTTGGACTCTCGGGCGAGGATGCAAATCCCCGGTGTCCGCCAAGGATGCGTTCTTCATGACGCTGGTTGTCCTCAAGCACTACAATGCGTAGGACAAACATGCGTTGGACTTTCGAATGAAAGCACCAACCTTCAAGAAGATGGTTCACCGCGTCCTGGATCTCGTCGAGCCTGTCTTGTACCAGCACTACGTCAAGCCACTGCCAATGACCGACCAAGTGCGCAAAGGACACGTGTTCAGCAACTTCCCTTCGGCATTGTATTGCACCGACGTAAAGTTCCAGCCATCCTACCGCCCAACTGGTCGCTTCGACGAGGCCAAATACTACTTCTGTGGAAAGCATAAGGTATATGGCCTCAAGCTCGAGTGCTCCGTTGCTTACCCTGGCGTTGCTGTGGCTTTGTCAGACCATTGCCCTGACTCCGTTTCCTACGTCACAATGTTCTTTCAACGCAGCGAGATTCATCTGTCCATGCCCATGAAGTCACCGACCGAGCTGGACATGCCCAACAACGACGAGGGGGTGGATCGTTGGCCTACCTCGTGGAGTGTCTTGGTCGATATACCAAGGAATCCAGCGTCAATTTCGATCCGTCCAGCCGAAGCGCCGACCGCAAGGGGGATTTCTTACGCCGCGTGAACTCGAGCGCAACGGCAGGGTGTCCTCTGATCGTGTCCTGGTGGAGAATTACTTTGGGCACCCGTGCAGTCTCTGGAAGATTATGGCCACCACCTACAAGTGGAACGAGTCCAAGTTTGATCGAGTATCGCGTATTTGCTGTGCTTTGACCAATGCGAACGTGTCGTGGACGCCCCTGTGTGGGAAGGATGGTATCTACTACCATGGTGTGCTGGCTAGGTACAACAGTATGTCTGCTGAAATGACAAGGAAGAGGAGCCGCAATCAAGTGCAATACCGAGCTCGACGCGCGAGACGACTTGAAGCAGTTTCGCATCAAATCGACCGGCGCTGGTCAAGTGGTGTGTAGTTTATAAATTGGACATTTTATTAATGGTTGCGATCATTCATAAAAAATAGAATAACTTTTTCAATTCGGGAAAAAAGCTTGCCACTCCTCTGGATTGAACCCTGGGTCCCTGCCACTATCGCTTTGATGCCGTCGCTCTAACCGTTGACGTGCCAAGCCGTTGTTTGTTTCTTTTGAAAGTGATGTCAGTAAAACACACATGGTACAAAAAGATCGAGCAAATGATCAATTCAAATGTCGGCCAAGTCATTATGCCAATCACAGACAAAAAGTCAGAATAAATGGCCAGTCACCATCGTTACGGTTATTTACAACGCAAATTGGCAATGAGCACGTTCTCATTCAAACTCAGTCACTGAACAAGAGTTCTAGTTGCTAGCCACCACTGATTGAGATCGTAAGAACTCTACATGAGTGGCTTGTAGAGTATATTCGTTGGGTACTTTGTAAGTACAAAACGACTCTCTATATTTAATCTTAGTACAAATGCAAACTTCGAATGATTACGTGCTCGAACTGTTAGTACTTTCGCCACGCAAGCTATTGAAGGCTTGACATCATGAACACAGATTCATCAAGCTCTAAAAAGCAATAAATCCCCGGGTGGAGTTACTCTCGCGACAACATGATTCAGAGCAGTGCATATTTGTATCGAGTACGCAGGGGCGAGTGAGCCTACAGTACTTCAACGCCCCTGTCTTCATTCTTGCAATAACGTTAATCATCCAATGATTTACGCCTTGGGCGTGATATATAAACCAACTACCTAGCGAGCTTATCTGTATTCTACTTGTATTGAAACTATATAATCTCGCGACATTCATATAAGCTTAGTGTACAGTACACACGTGTCGTGCTACGCTTGCTTCATTAAACTACCTTCCAAATGTTGTGTTCATCGCCCTTCAATGTACCTTACTACGGTAATACTACGTAGTATCAAGTTCCTACTTTCAGCACTCAATTTACTATCCCTACCATGCCAGTGTACTATGCTTGCTGAGCCACACTACAATTCTGATAATAATTCATGAAATCCGACACTGCATTCTACTATTAATAGTATTGGAAAGCTACTTATCTACCTTCATCATCCATCATGCTTCGCGTATTTCACATCATCTGTAGATAGCCCTTCATATTTAGCTGCAACGATAGAAGCAACAGATGATACATTCTCATTTACACTACATGCTGAGCACAAGCCACTAAGGCAGGGTTACGCTCGACTAGCTTCAGACTTCCTTTTTGCACATTCAATTCACATCCCGTTAACGCCTTAACGTCTTTGTGTTGTCCACCTTTGCCCCTAACGTTGCCTATCATGCACCAAAGAGTAAAAAAATAGGAGCTCAACGCTACCGGTATGATATTGCACTTGCTCTTATTACCACATCAAGGGGTATATCCAAAGTAGTCATGTTAATGCTGGTCAGAGTATAGCATGTACTGTATATCCCAGCACACATTAACAAGCCCATTAATCGATGCTAGCCAGGAGCCAGCATCATGATTCGGCAATCAGCTGGGGGGTGGATAAATTCAGTGCTACACTATATTGTGGATTCGTACAAGAATTACGTGAATTGAATTGATGAGGGTTTGAGCTGGTTCACGGGTGTTCTGCGTGGCTCTGCAGAAAGACCTATGAGCCTTTTTAGAGGTCAGGTCATGGTCTCATGATCGGTAAGGCGGTTAGTCTCTGTTATGTGCAGCAGGTCTCCATTCATCGTGCGGTTGTACGGTACAACCGCACGACGGCCATGTCCCACAAGTTGTGGGACATGGCCAACCGTGACTAACGTGGCGTCACGGAGGCAGAGTGGGCCGTATGGCTTGGCAAGGCGTTTGAAGAGGAGCCTCAAGACCTGGAAGTGCTCAAGAAGCGTTTGAAGACGGCGATCCAGTTCGACACGACAATCCTGAACCCCGCCTCGCGCATTGGCAAGATGCTTGACAACCTGATGCGAGACTTGGAGCGCGACGACCAAGCGTAGGACCAGAATCAAGAAGGCAATACAGTTATCGACATCGTGGTCAAGGCGATCAAACCGCTTGGCCTCCAGAAGTCTGTTCAACGCCAGCTGGTCCTCCAACTCAACAAGCCGTTGAAGACCAACGTGTACTGTTTCGTCGACTGGCTACGCGTGCATACCGCTGGTTACTACTTATATATGCCGCGGTGGAAGACGAGAAGACTTCGGCACCGCCTGCGACAGCAGTCGCAGCGCCATCGGTGCCCTCCAAGCCTCGACGATCGGAAGGCAGCAGTGGCAGCAGCAGTGGACCTCCCCGGCGCGCCCCAGCTCCCGGGCAAGACAGCGCGAAATACGACCGCAAGAAGGCAACCTGTGGCGAATCTGAGCATGGGCAAGTGGGAGAGCGTGCGCAACAAGAAGGTGACCAAGCTTCAAGGCAGCGCAAACAATCCCTCGGCCGCGAAGCCAAGATAGAAGGCATCGTGTCCGTCACGACGACCCTCCTCGACACCGGCTCCGACGTTACCTTGGTGACAGCCGACCTCATGAAGTCCCTGGAGCGAGCCGGCGTGGAAGTCAAGGTGATTTCGCCGGAGCCATCCGTGATCCAGCCGAATGGGTCAAGCACCTGTCCTCAAGGTCGACCGCCAAGTGTAATTCAAGTTGGTCACCCTCGACACAACCTGTGGACCTTTGGCCTTGCGTGGACTCAAGGCCTGGGTGGACTCTTTCTCAAACGAGGCAAAGCTCCTGACCAGCCGGGTTGTAATGGAACGGCTGGACTCCTCGGAAGATGAGTTGCTCAGCCACTCCTTTGTCAAGCAAGAAGTCTGGGATGTCAGCAACGTGGACAAGTGGCCGCCTCAAGCGACGAGTGCGGTGATGACGGCATGCACTGTGCCACCCCCAACATCCAAGTCCCATATGCTAAAGACACAGAAAGCGAGCGAAACAGGCGGTGAGCGGTGGTTGAAGCGGTGATTCAAGACAAGCTCCGTGCCGCTGAAGGTGAAGGCTTGACTGCGGACCTCCTTGAGAAGCTGCGACTCCTACTGGCCAAGCACTACGATGTATTCCACCTGTAGATATGTCACGACGAGCCGATCAAGGTGGAGCCGCTGCGGGTGCGAATAAGCCTGGCGCCTTCCCTGTCTATTGTGGCCTGCTACAATACCCCCCGGCCCATGTGGAGTTCCTGAAGATACATGTACACGAGCTGGAAGCAGCTGGCCTGGTGCACCGAAACAACCGCGCAACTTGGGACTCGGCGCCGCGCATCGTCCCCAAGAAATCCCGTGGCAACTTGCGCATGACCATCGACAGCCGGCCCATCAACCCGTGCATGGAGCCTATGCCGAACCTCGACGTCGCCCTGACTGTCTTGGTGAGTGCGCGGGCGTTTTTCACCCTCGACTGGTTCAAGGGCTACTGGCAGCTGGCGCTCCATGAAGACTCCCAAATGTACTACTCCTTCATGACCCCCTTTGGAGTGTACACGCCAACAAGAGTGCTTATGGGCCAAACGGACGCGGTGGCGTTCTGTCAGTCGGCGGTGGACTTCATGTTTACCGACCTAGTGTTCAAAGGACCCCTAGCCTGGCTCGAAGACATGCTTGGTTACGCCGAGACCCCTGGAGACCTCCTCGACCAAGTCCTCACGACCTTCTCCTTCGGCCTGAATATGAACCCGAAGAAATGCGACTTCTTCCTGACCAAGGCGGTCTGGCGCAGAAAAGCCGTTTCAACTGAAGGCGTCCAGCACCCCCCCACAAGAATCCAAGGACTGTGTGCGCAACCAACTGGATGCGATCCAGCATCCCCTGCTACACCGATCTTGTGGCGATGCGACGCAGCGACCAAGCAAATTGGAAGTACGAAGGAGACGAAGCGCACCCGCGTCCAACTCACTGCCGTTTGGGACGTTGGCCATCTGGCCTGTTTCGACAAGATCAAGAAAGTTCTCTTGGCGATGGTTCCCATGGTGCACCCACGGGCAGACATGATGGTCTGCCTTTACACCGACGCACGTGATGGCTTTTGCGGCGCGATCGCCACTCAAGTACCATTTGAAGACCTGGCCCTGCCGTTGGAAGAGCAGCACCACCAGCCGTTGGCCTTTCTCAGCGGCGCCTTTACTGGCGCAAGCGAGCGTTGGCCAATCGTAGAGAAGGAAGTGTTTGTTGTTGTGGAAAGCTGCAAGCGGCTGGACTACCTTCTTATCGGCACAGCTGGCTTCCGCCTTTTCACCCACCACAAGAACCTGCAGTACATTTTCAATCGTGTCGGCCCCAAGCAAGCGCACAAGTTGGAGCGCTGGGCCCTGGTGCTGTCCTCGAGTGCCTGCCCGGTGAAGACAATGTGTGTGGCTAACTGCTCAGCCGCTGGGCCGCCGCCCAAGCCCAAGTGCCAACGGACTCCGTCCGGCGCCTCCTGGCCATGGTGTCGCCCCTGCAGCACTCCGAATTCGACTGGCCCAGTCCGGCCGGCATCGTCAAGACCCAACAAGTGGCCGTGAAGAGGGAAGAGACCCCGCCAACCGGCGTGGAGTGGAATGAAGACAAGAACCTGTTCCTCGACAATGGATCCCACCAAGTGCCACGTACCTCCAGCAGCGGGTCTACATCATAGTGCACCAAGGTGCCGCGGGCCATCGACAAATCGAAGCCACGATCAGGGGTGCCTGCGATGTCATCGCCTGCAACCTCGAATCCGATTCAAGATATTTGTCCAAGCCTGCACTCACTGCCTCAGCGTCGACGGTCAGAGGATCATTTTCAAATCGTGACACAATAGACTGATAAAGAGTAAAGGGCAAGCGAGGTTGGAGAACAACGTACGCAGGGAGGCCACTTTGGAGGAATTAAGGAACGTCAGCCCCAGTATGCGTAGACTAGAGAGAGACTTTGCCGTCTCGGACTTCAACGGCGCGCTCTTCAATGATCGTACGTGGTCAGCTATAACCTTGTGCCGCGCTGCAAGGCCGTCATCAGACAAGTTGGGATCAACATGGTACAGCTCAGGGTGCTTAAACTTGTCGACTTGAACGTCAGGATCAGAGGCACATAAGACTTGTTCAAATAGAAATGAGTAAATTCATGACCATCAGCCTGACCGAGTAGAGCGAGGCGTCCAGGAGGACAAGACGCACGACAGGAAGAAACGAAGAGTAGATTAGGATGACTGGTGTAGGGGCACTCCCACACCCTACTGACTAGCTACGAGTTGGTTCCTGATTGGTCAGATACCGAAGCGCACATATGATGACACATATAAATCTATAAAAATATTAATAAGTTCTTGTGTTTCTAAAAAATTTTTTTTATATAATTAAAATCTATTAATAGAATATTTCCTTTTCGAAGAGCATTAGCATCATATTCTATTTGAAAAAGATTTTTTAAAACATTATTACTTAAATTTAATGTTTTATTTATTAAATAAGAAGAATTATAATTTATTTGTGTGGAAATATTTTCTAACTCGGAATTATTAATAATTTTATATTTTAAATAGACATTTTTATTTTTTATTTCAAATATATCATAAATACCTAAATTTTGTTTTCAAGATAATTTAAATATAGCAGGAAATTGTAGAATGTGTCTAATATCTCGTGAGTATCCGTGCTGACGCGGGCCTTTTTCTTGGCGCGGGGTGTCTTGGCTGCCGGTGGCGTGGGCGACCTTGGCAGGGCAAAGGTCGCCCACTTGGCAAGGTCCAGCCGGAGATATAAGCTTAGTAGGGACTGTGGTATACCAGCACTATTAATAGTACGTTATACTACTAATGTACTACTACGTAGTATTAATAGATATGTACAGTATATACATGTTAGAAATTACACCCTTTCTACGCTTCCTTCAACAGCAGCACAAGATGGACCCCTTGCTCGGTTCCTGTGCGACCTCTTGCAATGCCAAGCTTTTGAGACAGAATACTTCTTGAGAATATCCGCGACATGCTCGGCCTGTCCGATAAACTTGTGATTTGCTACCCTTCTTCCCTGTGATTCGCTACACTACTATCTTACCACGAAGTGTTACCCCGACGTTCAAGGTATCGATCCCACCTTCAGCGGAATTGCGGGAGTCACAACAATTATTTTCAATTTCGCGCCTGCCATGACAAGCCACGAAAACAAGCCAGCGGACTTGGAGGAACGCTTATCGTACATCCATTCGAAGACGGCCAAAGACTTTGATGGGTACATCGAAGCGAAATCTCCCAAGGACCTGGAAGAGGGGGCGTTGGCCGATGGGGGGGCGCTGGACCTGTGGTCCCGCGAAGCGTTTGCCCTGTATATCCAGTACGGCGCCGTCGGGGTCATGTACGGCATACTGCCTGCGCTCCGATATCCCATCTTCAACATCTACCTCAACTTGGAGGGGTACGAAACGTCAGCGTACAGGGTGTTGATTGTGATCGGGTGGTCATTCAAGGTCGTCTTTGGCTTGTTGTCGGATTGCGTCCCCATCTACGGCTACCGTCGCAAGTCGTGGATCTTGATCGGGTGGACCATCACGATGATCTGTCTGAGTGTTATGGCGTTTTCGCCGTTCGGCGAGCCGTTTTGCAACCGCGAAAAGACCAAGTACTGCAGTACGCCATTGGAAAAGGTGCCCAAGTCGGAGCTCCAGTACTTCAACTTGGCCGCCCCCGACAGCGGCACGCTATACATCCTTCTGTCTATGTTTATCGCGTTTGGGTACGTCTCGTCTGCGTCTGCGTCGGACGCGATGGTGGTCGAGTACGCCCAGCGCGAGCCACTGGCCATCCGCGGCCGCATCCAGACCGCCATCTACACCGTGCGTGAGCTCAGCGGCATCTTCTCGTACTTAGTGACTGGGTTCGGACTGAACGGCCCCAACTACGCCGGGTCGTTTTCGTTTGCGTTGTCGCCGAATGCTCCGTATGGCATTTGCTTGGTGCCGTGTGTGCTGGTGGTGCTCTCGACGGTATTCCTCCTCGTCGAGAAGAAGGCTGAGCCCTCGTCCTTCTACCGATGGTTGAGCATGTTTTGGGAATCTCTCCAGAGTCGCGTGATGTGGCAAATCTGTTTGTTCCGATTCCTGAGCAACGTGTTCCACGGCGTCGGCACCACTGCGGGTTTGCCCATCTCGACGTACTGGGCGGGGGTCGAACCCCTCAACGACGCGCTCTCGAACATATTTGGCAATATGCTGTACGCTGGCATGCTGGTGATTGTGGCCAAGTGGGGGCTCAACTGGAACTGGCGCTGGACCATCACCGCAGGTACCCTCGGGATGATCATCATCGACGGCTTTGTCGTGTACATGACCATCTGGGACGTCGTGCGCAACCAGTGGTTCTTCGCGGGTGTGGCATTGGCCGACAACTTTCCCCAAGGCCTCCGCTTCATCGTAGCTACTTTTATGGCTGTGGAAATCGCAGACAAGGGCAACGAAGGCGCCACGTACGGCCTCGTGACCACTGTGAGCAACCTCGCGTCGCCCTTTGCCAGCATATTTTACAAGTACATCAATTCGTACTTCAAAGTAAGTCAGAACGACGTCAAGTCCGACACGCTCGAGGTGCGGTGGGCCGTCGCGTACGTGTATATGATTTCGTACGGGTTCAAAGTGGCGTCGTTGTTTTGGCTGTTTTTGCTGCCTCCCCAAAAGACGGAAATTCAGGCGTTGAAGGCCCGCGGTGGCAAAAGCAAGGTGGCGGGGGCGCTGCTTGTTATCATTTTTCTCTTCTGCGTGTCGTTCGCCGTGTCCAGCAACATCATGACCATCTTCCCCTCCACCAAGTGCTACCGCATCGCAGGGGGCAACGGAGTGTTGGACCCGAAGACGGGCAAGTGCCCCGTCAAGTAGACAAAAGTTGTTTTTCATTTTAAAGTAAAGTATAATGAACGTTTCATATCTCGTGTTATCCTGGCGGTTCCAATATTCATTCATCACGAGGCGATATCGCCATCTTCCCTATCCCAACTCTATAACTCAAAACTTCGGCTG